ATCTCGTAAGAACTTGAAAATAATCGGTAATAAAATCGCGAAAAGGAAACGATTCCAACGAGTTCTTTCTCGCTGGGTAGACGGAATCGTACTAACGGCATATTCATAGTAAGCGACTAACACACATCGGTACTTTTTGTTATTGTGTACGACTTCGCACTATTTCCTTTTGTCCTCTTCGTCCTAGTATTCGTCGTCGTCGTTGTTCGTCCTAATCCTCGTCGTTTTTATTTTCTTATTGTTGTCATTATCGTTATTGTTATTACACACTCAATTCTAACGATCATACGCTTTAGGACGAAAACATACGGGAAGAAACGTATACGAGAAATCGTAACACACTTGGAGAATGACGAACCGGTCATTCACGGAGCCCGCCGTCATGCCGATGGAATGCGCGCATCCATGATGGTCACGTTCGTCTATTCGACCAATCAGCCGCAAGGAAGCACCGGCTTCTGCGTCTGCCGGCCAACGCTCGCCACGTGATTTCGCGCTTGGGACCACGTGACGCTCTTTTTCTCCCCACTACTCCGCCCACTGAACATATCACTCTCTCTCTCTCTCGCGCGTTCTTGCTCTCTCTCTCTCTCTCTCTCACTCTTACCGCCGCCGGCTGTAGCGACGGCGATGGCGACGCGCGCTTCGCGACGCGACCGCGTGACGTCACGCACAGCTGACTGCGCTAGAATACGCCGACGGTTTACCGCTTCTCTCTCTCTCTCTTCTTTTCCTATCGCCGCTTCGCTCGCTCCTTCTCTCTCTCACTCTATCTCTATCTATCTCTTTCGCATTGTTCATGCGCTCCTGCTATGTCCCACCATACCCCACTCCCCTCGCAAAGCGAACATCCCATCGTCGTCGTTTTCATACGGTTAACTCTCTCTCTCTCTCTCTCTCTCTCTCTCTCTCTCTCTCTCTCTCTCTCTCTCTCTCTCTCTCTCTCTCTCTCTCTCTCTCCTCTCTTCCTCTATCTTTCTCTCTCTCTTCCATTTTCTTTTCTTTATCTTTTCTTTTTTTTCTTTCTTTTTTCCTTTACTCTCGTACGTATCTTTCAGTTTAGCTTTCTAGTCTTTTAACATTTTTTCGCATTTACAATTCATATTTGCAAATCGATTATATGAAATTTCGTATTAGTGGGTGTAACGGTACACATCGAGAGACGATTAAACGATAAACGAGAACGGTAAGCAATCAAATGACACGCCTTGGACTCGCAAAACACCTAATTCGTAATTTAGGTCATAGTAAAATGTGGATACGAAATAATGCGAATATATATATATACATATGTGTAATGCATTCTCTCGTACATCAGTATCGTTTCTCTAGAGATAACCTAACCGCACTGCCCACGCGTTTAACTACACAATAAGGATTCTTCGATATTTTTATTTACCATTCTATAATGTGTCTCTTTTAAAACGTTCCTTATGTACACAATTTTTTTCTTTTTTCTTTTTTTTAATTCCACGGAGTCGACGGATCTGTAATATTTTTTTGGGGGCGAGGGGGGGGTGGAGAGAGGGGCAAAAAAATAAAAAAGAAAAAAAGTAAAAATAAAAATAGAAGTATTACCAAAAAAAAAGAAAATGAAGAAAGAAAAAAGAACCGACAAACACGATCGCCATCTAGTATATTATTCCGCGTTCTCACACCCACATGTATGTATGTATGTATGTATGTATGTATGTATGTATGTATGTATGTATGTATGTATGTATGTATGTATGTATGTATGTATGCATGTATGCATGTATGCATGTATGTATGTATGTATGTATGTATGTATGTATGTATGTATGTATGTATGTATGTATGTATGTATGTATGTATGTATGTGTATGTATGTATGTATGTATGTATGTATGTATGTATGTATGTATGCATGTATGCATGTATGTATGTATGATGTATGTATATATGTATGCAATGTCTTACTCACATCGTTAGAGGAATTCTGAGTTGGCGAAATACCAACAATGATAAAATAAACTTTACCAGAAAGTATTACCGTTTTTGAAAATGTTACTAGTAGGATAAATTATTTCTTACACTACGTAAGTTTGATCCCCAATTACATACACATACACACACACACATATATATATATAATTAGATTTCAAAATATATATTCTGTAATGATTAGTAATAAGATTTTTTCAATTTTTTTTTCATATTTTTTTTTTTTTTTTTTTTTTTTTTTTTTTTTAATCGATACTAGCCAACTTCAATTCATTACATTTTTCAAGAAAAACTCTTTTCCCTTCGCCAATATAGAATTAAATCTGTCTCTGTGTACGTTTATGTGTGTGGATATGTATAAACGAGAGACCAGTTCTAACTCGAAGCGAGTTCACGCATCACGAAATACTCCTGTGCATATCCGCTAATTTAAGAACGATTACTCACCGGAGTCAAAGTCGGCCCCTCCAGCATCCATGCCACCTGGATTTCCATACTCTGTCGAAAAAAGAGAGAGAAAAAAAAAATAAAGAAC